CTATCAGGGCAGGCAACAAAAATAAGAGAGGATAAAAATTTACAGTTGGAAGCCACCCATGGACAAACTATACCGTGATGTGGGACCTGAAAATTGGAAGAAATAACTAGACATCACATGGCAAATAGAAATACTGCAATAAAAACACATAGAAAGACAAGAAAAACAAAACTTTGAGCAGGGTGAGACTTCAAAAGTTCTCAAAGTACTTGACTCAGGCAACCATGTGTTTTCTGTCTGTCTAGGTCACTGAGGGATAATTCACATGCATTTCAGGTATGTCTTAATGTAACATAGATTCTGAAAACAATTTTGATTGCTTTGTTTCTAAGTGACCAGAGATTGTCTGCACCATGTTAACTGGTACCCAGAACTCGTATCGGTTACCTTTCCAACCAAATGTGCTAGTACAGAGTTGAATCACAGTAACCTCCTTGAGGACACACAGATACTTCGGGATTGCTTTATCTTCGTGACAGAGAAAACTGCTAATTCTTCACTCACAAAGAAGTTTGGAGCACTGCATTCCCTTCATATGTCTGAGTTTTGCTATAAAAGAGGCCACCTGATTTCCAGTGTAAGAATTTAATTTAGCACCTCAAAAGCTGATTAAAATACATTTTACAGATACTTTATATATATGTGAGTGTTTGGAATGTGGCAGATTTATTACTGTGGACTTTTAGATATAAAATGAAGAAAAATAAAATATGTCAAAAGTGTTTCAGTGATGAAGGAAGCTAGCTCCTCTTCATTTATGTGAAAACATAAGATTAGGGTTGTTCTTGTGCAAATAAAGATATCAGATTTATTTTTACAACTGCCATGGCCCTTCTCTCATGAGTGGCAGACACACAAATGATGTCAGTATGTATGACTAACAACTAAAAATAAAGCAGATATTCTTGCACAGGCTACGTAATATTCTATTAATACATGACCATTTTGTTTAGTTTACATTTTCTTTGGACCTTGCCCATTCACAGCTTTCTCTGAGCAGTTTCCTTGTATCACATACTGTGAACTATTGTCACTCATTCACTTCTAGCGGTTTTAGAAAGAAAAAAAAATCTGCCTCATCTTCATCTGATGAAAGCACTTTTCATCAAGAGTTTAGCAATTCATCCCTCTCCATGACCCTTCTAATTCTACCAAGTTAAAAAAGAAAATCCATAAAAACATTTCCCAACTAATCCCTTTCTCTAATATGTCGTTCTGGGTTTTTATCCCTGTAATAAATGCCTTGCTGCATCTTTACTGTGATTAGTCTCATGGGATGTACATGTGATGAGCATCTCCCCAGGGTCAGACTGAACACGGGTCAGAATCCCATAGCAAATGCTAACACACATTTCAATCCCCCCAAACCACCCAAGCAGCCAGTACTTTAGCATCAGTGTTTATATAGCACAGTGTATAGTTGGCAGGAAGAGGGGCTAAGACAAAGCATTTTTATTTCTTAAATGTGAGACTAAGGTGTTTCCAAAGTGACAAAAAATTGAATTCCATGGGGTTTAATGTTTCCTTTCCTCCAAGCACTGCACACAGTGAGGTCGCTAAACCCCAAACAAGCATGTGTATCCCCAGAAAATCAAAACCCCAGTGCTGACTGGATCATGGACTTGCTAAGTCTCTAAAAGACAGGAAATATATCTGGTATCAAGTGGAATTTCTGCTCAGAAAGTGGAAAAAAGCAGGACCTCCTTATAGCCAGTGCTTCTGGCACTTGCACAGCACGCAAGAAGTACCGAGAATTGTAACAGCTCTACTGCCTTTGGATGATGGAGAGGGAGGCTATCAATCTCTCACATTGGAGTAATTTTTTTATTCTCTATAATTACATTTTGACTGGAACAGGGATGTGAATCCAGATTTAACCGAACCTGCAATTTTGTCGCATGTGCTAAGTTTGAATGACTTCCTCAACACTGTTACACAACTGAGACTTTTTTAAAGCATCACTGCCTTTTTACCTGGACTCTTTGTTCTCTAGACAACCTTGTTGTGTTCATTCTGATATATTTTTTGTGACAACTGAGGAACCACTGACATGGTGACACAAAATAGGATCGGATCTTGTTCTGTAAGATTTTCCTTTGATTAGCAATGGGAGTCTGTCATATGGTGTTCCAGTTGCCATGCAAACAGCCTTAAATTATGCTTCACAAGATTTCATCCCAAGTAGTAACAATGACAATCCTTATGTACCCTTTTTGTTTTTCCAAACTTCTTTCTAAAAGCAGACTGACATGTATAGAAATCTCACTAGACTTTACTGCATCCAAGTTCTATAAAATAGTCTAAAACAAGTGTGCCTGCAAATGCCAGACCTCTGGCAGATTTTAATACAATGTGAAAATCATATACTTGAAACTGAAAAAATAATCCCTGCAGGGATGATTTGATGTTGGATGGGCATGCCCCCCTTTTTCTAACAGTACTAATTAATTTGTAGTCAGTTTCAGTAAATATACATTTTCCCCATAAATAAAGATTTAAAACTCACAGACCAGACACAGTCTCATTTTCTATTTCAGCATTTTGACATTCATTGGTTAGTGTACCCCACAAAAGTCATTGGTCTCAAGCTTAGATGATACTATTGTAAGGAGATTTGAAAAGCGTACGAATTTCTTCTTGCCTTGTTTTCCAGTTCATGTCATAGTAACTTAGAATCAAAGGCTCCTGAACTATTTTTTTTTTAAATATTAAACTCTTCATTGAAATTTAAATCCCCTTATTCTTGGGATATTTTTGCATATAATAGTCTCAAATTCTAATGTTCAAACAAGCAGCAAGATAAGGGATGTCTCTACAAAATTCAGCATCCCAAGCAACCGGTTGCAGTGTTTCTTCTTTTGCCAGGGAACACATTTTCTGACTTGTCTTTCTCCAGACTGCCTGGAGTGTCTATTGTTTTATTCTGCTGATAAGAATCTATGTTGATCTTACATCTCTGCATAAACAGAAATATTGCTTCATCTTTAAATCCAACAAATCAATGGGACACAACTGTGTACATCTCCCAAAGTATAGATGCTGCTCAACCATACTCATTCTTTATCCGTGGGCACCTCCTAGATCTCTGTAAACACACTGAGTATAGAAAGTTATTTAGTACCACTCATGACCCCACAAAATTTTATCCTTTCTAGGTATCAGCAATTCTTCCTGGTGGTGTTAAATTTTCTGAGATTACAAACAACCAAGCAGTTCTGGGGCGTGCTTAAGTCTTACTTTTTTTAATCTTCCCCCTCCCGCCCCCCACCCCAAGATATGCAAGATTTTTTTCATTGTCTTGTAACTGACCAACAAACATCTTTCTCAACGGTTTTGTTCATCTACCCTTCCACTGAGAACTCCATACGGAAGACTCCAGGCCTTCACATTTTAAACCAAGAGCCAATATTCTTTTGTAAAGATATGAAAAGATCACATCTGCTTTTAACTTGCCTTACATTTTTGCATGACAGTTACTCATAACGTAGCTTTACCTCTCTCTAGATAGTACCTGTTCTTTTGACACTTGAAGGCTTTTATGAAGTGCTATTACACATTACTTCTCTTGCATTTATTCTCATATATTGCATGCTTGCAAAGCTGGTGCCCAAACTATGCAAAGTTCTGTTTTATTTCTGGTTTTTGTGACTTGAATTTTATTTGCTATTTGGCATCCCCAATAAATACTATAACCTCAGAGCTTTGCTTGCATTCTGTTCATCTTACTCTAGCCTAAATAACTTCCATTAACTGGGAACTTTTATCATGTTTTATGAAGTGTTCATATCGGCTCTTCCAAATGTTCTTGTGCACTATTTTCTTTAAATCACGATCATTGCTTCCTACCTGATCAGGGCACAATCTCCCAGAACTCCAAAATTATCATTTCAGCCCTACAGACATCACTAGCTCTCCTAAGTTTAACCCTCCTCCTTCCATTTAAGAGGAACCTTGCCTATGTTTTATCTTCAAGTGCAGCATTCTTCAGATTCCTGTCCTACACCTTCTGAAGGCTTGAGTTAACAAAAATTATTAAACCCACAAATGCTCCAGAATCAGCCACATCCAAAAATAAAAATACAAAAATACCTTCTAATAGCTCCCCATTTTTTTCCGACTACTGTTTGAAGGCTCAAGGGAGAAGATATCTGAAGTATTCCTTTGTAAGTTAAGTAGTTTCTGTTGCAAGGAAATTTTCAGCTGCTTAACACTTTTATTTAGGACACTGAATTTGTTCCTTTTTATTTGATTTCCATAAGTAGTATTTGGTTTTTATGGATTGAGCAGAAAGTCTTTTTATTGCATGACTAGTTTTACCTGGATGTCCAAAGCCCCAGCTGAAACCGTATCATATTGGACCCTTAGGAAAGTCAGTCCTGTAAACCACATTTCTCACATCTGTACCTGGATGTACTTACTGTCTTCAAAATAATAATGCAAAGTTTGGCCTTGATTTTAACATATTCTTAGTTGGGAAGTTCACCAGTGGACAGAAATTATGGAATGCCACACTTCTTTCCCCAAAATATTTACAAGTAGGTTCTACCTACCTACTTATCCTAAGCCTCATGAGGGGACTTGTTCTACTTAACCAATACATTGTTCCTTGAGGAAAGGGCTTGAAAGGGACTTGACCTTATCCATGTCTCCATCCTGAGCTGCTTAGATAGCTGGCATACTTACAGCCTTTCAAAGCCCTGGAGTTGTCTTTCTATAATGACTGGAGAAGCAAATTATGTGCTCTGTGTAAAAGACAATGCTGCTATTACTGCACATATTTCTGAATGTTAGTAGTACTTGGAAGCTGCTTAGAGTTAAAATGGTAGCTGAATATGCATTGGTTACAAAATAGAACTAGGAACAAAATATCCTGTAAAGAAACAAAGGCATAAAAGCACTTCTACTGAGCAGATTTTTTTCCCTAAAGTAGGAGAGAAATTTAAAGTAAAATTTCGGTCTAGCAGAAGCAAATGTTTATTCAAAATTAATTATGTACTCACCTTTGACTCTATCTCCTTTGTGCAGATGAATTTCCCCTTCTCCTTGAGGTTGATATGGCTTTACGACAATAAAAAGTCTTCCAGGTACAGCACTGTAAAGCTTGCGTTTTGGACCCTGATAATCCAAGGCGGACAGAGTATCCTTGTTGGCACTAGGATTGTAAATGGCACTGGAAATTTAAATTAAAAAACAGTAACTGGTTATTTAAAATGGGCAAAGTTAATCATTTACCATCACCTTAACAGGATTAAATTAAGCAGTGAATAACATTAATTGTCTTCCAGTAAGACATCTAACCCTTCAGAAAAATACACATTTTTCATCCTAAACACATGCTTTTAATGGTTGAAATCTTTCATTATGAAACATGATCAATATTCATCTCACCATGATGGCCTAGGAAAAAAAACACATAACACTAAAGCTTCTAGTTTTTCTGCAAACTAAACTTGTGCATTCACAGACCCTGATGAAGTTCAAAATTTATAGGCAAATCATACATTAGAAGCATCATAATTTGTCAGAAAGACTTTTAAACATCAGTAATTACAATTATTGTTGGGAATGGATAGCTTTGTAATATTGTAATATTAAAAACAATCAAGACAATTGAATTATTAACTGAGCGGACTGAACAATCAAGTTACTTCATCACTCCAAGGCCTGGAGTTAAATTTTAGATCTGCACAAAGCACGGTTCTTATGGCTACCATATTCTCCAGAAGATCATTTCTTACTTATGGCAATCAATAGCTCTCCCAATGACTTCAGAATGGTATGCCCAGAAAAACCATAAGTCATCAAACAACACACAATCTACTTACGGTGTCTAAAGATGAAATTATTGAAAGTTGGTGAAGAATGCACAAGATCATTACTAAAGCTCCAGAAAAATGAGTGAAGTGTCAAAAATATACGAAAAGAGAAGGAGGCAAGTATTAAAGAAGGTAGAAAACCTACAGGAGATATCATGGCAAAATTGCAATACACTACTATTCAACTTTTTAAAAAAAAAACATCGAAACTTGAGGTCTTACACAGAAAGTCTAGAAACAGAAAATATTAATGAGAAAGAAGAGTATCTATAAAGATTTATAGGCAAAAGATAGAGTACCAAAGGAAGAAGAATGATTTAATGGTGGTCTGGCGTCGCAACACTCCGCTTACTTCCGTGTAAGGAGACAGAAAAGATCTCAAATTGCTATAAGCAAAATTACATATGAGGGCTAGAGTTTACTGTTTCTTCACCTTTTTCTTTTTTAAACCAATCTCCTAGCAAAAGAGGAGTCAATGAGGCTCTCAATATAGGTAAGGAAGTTGTCTGGTAAAAAAACCAACACATAGTAGTTCTTTCATATCAGGAACACTTCCATTTTCCTGCAGTAACTTCTTCACCGTTTGGAATAGCATCCTCCTTTCACCTCGTTGTTCTATTACTGTGAAGAGGTGCTAATAAAGATAAGCTGTACTCAGGGGTTTGAAAGTGAGCTCTGGTTGCATGTCTGTGATTGAGTTCGCATCAGAAAGATGACATTCAGGTTTCAGTTCTTTTGCTCCATTCCTTTTTCCTTATAAGCAAAGAAATAGTCATCACCATAAAAAAAAGCCAGACCTATAAACTGGATGCTACACATCCAATTTCCACTTGTATCAAGCTGTATCTTCTGCCTAGTCTGGCAGCAGCCAGGTAGCAGCTGTTCACAGTTTTACGTCCCAGCACCTTCTTTAACTCCTATCACAGAAGATTCATTCATTTTCTCTTATTGAAAGAGAAGGGGGAAATGGCACATTTAATCTTCGCACTAAATGTATCATTTCTCGTGAGACAGGCTTACTAATGGAAATCAGGGCTGCAACATGGGATAGATGACTTCTTAAAAAAAAGATCTTTCCTCTCCCACCTCGTCCCCAGCTTGGGCTCCCAGCCCAGCAAGACCCATGCTGTGAAGGAGCAGGAGGAGGATGTAGAGATTTCAGAAGACATGTGGACGTGCTTCCTTCTCACTCAGAAGAAGGTGGCCATCCTTGGTGGCTCATTCCTGACTGAGGCTGTGCTGGCACCTCCTTTCACTAAGCACTGTGGGACAAATTCCACAGGAAGGATGCCAGTTCCCTTGCCTCCCCCAGCTCCCCCTGCAAAACCAGCTGGGTATGAAAAGCAGCAGCCTCATGAAAAGATAAACACCTGAGCCACACAGGCTGTAAAGATCACAGGAACCCCTTCCAGCATCGCCTTCCAGCCTTCTCCTTTCCACAATGCAAACTCCCAAAATCTCATTAACCCTTTGTCGTACTCTAACCTTCCCCATTAATTAACCTACCCCTTCTGGCTGCTTCTGCTCCAGAACCTGCTATTTCAAAAAGGGCTTTTTCATCTAAGGGGAACAACAGCTTTGTGGTGAATGTATTATTTGCAAATAATAAGCAGAGACAGCAACAATTCCCACATTTAGCTGATAGTAAGTAGGTGGCCATACAGTTAAACAAAATCTGTGAGGAAAGTGTCATGTAAGGTGCCATTCATGACTGCAAAATGGGCCTGTGGCAAGAAAAGGCATTGCCTGCAGGAAAAGTTATATATAAAATTCTTTCAGTTGTCTTTAAATTTAGAGAGCTTCCAGCTCTCTTCTCAGTACTGGCACATACTCTGGACATCTCTGCAACAAGTCTTGATAGTACATATGAAACTCTGCAGCTGGGTAGCAGTTTAAATAGCTGTGATACTGATGCAGTAAGAGAAAGATCAAAATTTTATATTTTTTTAATTTTAATTTCAGGCATTAAATTGATTTCTACTATCATTTGTGCTAGTTTTCAAAACCAAGTGCTTTCAGAAAGGGAAGAGGAAAGTATCTGAATAAAGTCAAGCAAATAAGCTTCTACAAGCTTATTAAAAAAAATTTTTTAATTGTTCCCTCTACCTCAAAGGATTGCTTATACTTGAAGAATTGTAAGTGGGTTATCCCTGGAATATTGATGAAAAGGCATATTTTGTCCCTTGCAGCTAAAATCATCATTGACTCTAATAATCATTGACTGGTGGCATCAGCAGTATCCAGTGGAATACAAGGACACTCATTCTCTGAAAAGCACCTCACAGCCACCTCCTCACCTAAGCGAAGCCTCATTACAGACAACCTGTTTTTAAGCTGATATGGGTCTCTGTGAAAAAGCATCTCCCAAATTATAACCAAATGAGTTTTTGCCATTATTGTAACACAAGGTAAGATGAGTTTGCTCTACTGCATGACACCACTGGCACAGGAAATTTGTATCTTGTTCCTTCCAGCGACTTGTATTTCAGACAAGTGTTTTTTACAACACAGCTATTTCCACTCTCCAGCAGTATTGTTACTATCACAAACAGTGCTCACCAGTTTGGGTGCCTACAGCCAAGGAGAGAAGAAGAATGTGCAGGGTAACAGGTGACAGCTTCAGCTACATGACATTTTGTTTTACTGACTTGAAAACTCAAGTAAAGATCCATTACACCTACAAATGACAAAGAGAAACCAGCAGCTGCATTTCTTAACCATACCCATGTCCTTTTCTACTCCAAACAGCGGATATTTTTTGACATTAGGAAACAGAACAGACAAAGCCTGATATTTTAAATGACCACTGAATTAAATGCGTTTGGTCAAAATGTTTAAGCTCTAATTCTCTCCATCAGTACTCAGCTCTGCAGAACTCTCCTTTTTGCAGAACTTTCCCTTCATTTTTGCAGCCCCACGCTTTAACCCCTCATCCTGGTGCAGCTCCATCACTTGCACACTTGCCAGATGCAGTTCCCAAGTCCTCCTCAGAGTGAAGCTGTAATTGTCTGTCCACAGGGCAGTGGCTTCACAAAGCTGAAGCCCCCATCTGTGATCGAAACTTAGACACAATCCTCTGTTTTATTATATTACTTACAATACCTACATCACTCTAATTAGTCAGGATTTGCTCTCCAGTGGGACATAGCTGCAGGACATTTGCAGAGAGTGCCTGCTAAATCACATTTGTAAATCAAGACGAAAGGAAGAGCAGCAAAGTCACAGGGAATGTAGAACCCTGCAGCAAGGATAATTATGAAGGAAGGCCATGACATCTATCACCACCATCTCAGGAAGCCCTCTATGCTCTGGGCCAGCCTCCTACACAGCCCCACTTATTCCCTCTATTTCACTCTTTGGTTCAGCACACATCCACAAAAGGGAGAACTTAAACATCCTCTGCTTCATCACCCATGAGCAGCTCTAACACAGGTTTCAAGCATGTCCAATACTTTCATGAAGGGATCAAGTATCTCAGAAATATTTTACTGTTCTGTTAAATGCAATTGTTATTTCAACTGTTAAAAGATCTTGAGAACTAGCACCTTGATTTGGAGGTGCAAACTCAGTGACAAGTCACTGCTGAGCTTCGCTGAACTTTAAAGTCTGTCTGGCTGCTGGAGCTCTGTGAAAAATCAGCTGGCTTTGACTGGAGCTTCCAACTAAAACATTCATAGTTGGACATGTCCCACTGTGCTGAGATTTTATTATCTATATATTATATAGTGTGCAAAACGGGCATATAAATAACATAAAAGAACATGACAGTCCAGCAAGATGACGTTAGGGATATCTCATGCTGTGCAAATAGTCAAAAAGTCACCTGATGTGCCTGTGCTGCTGCCGTTTGGCATCCTCTCCCAGCCTGTTTAGGGATGGTGACCGGCTCCGGGAAGACGGAGTGTAACTCCCCACAGTTTTTACAGTTCCATTAGGATTATTCTGCATCTGTTGAAGTAGATGAGGTGAAAGGCTCCGGTGTGAAGAAGCAGAGGAAGAGGCTGACCACTCAGGGAGGTTGTTGATGTTCAGATTGTTGTCGCTGTTGGAACGAAGCAAGATCCGAGGTGCTGCTAAGGTGCTTGGGGGTCTCCGCCTTCTGTTTGAATAGGTGGGAGCCTCTCTAAAGGGCACTGTATGAAGAAAGACATCCAGGGTAATCTCAGATGATTTCACCACTTACATGTGTTTACCACCCCATAAAAAGACTTAGCAACATATGGCATTGTGTCTCCTGCAGAGACAGAAACTCTACCTTGCCTGCATAGCTTATCGAATTCATTATCTTGAAAACATCATTAAAACTGAAAACAACTGAGCAATGGTAACCTGTTAACTGGCTTTAATAAAGTTAGGCAACACCAGTGGCATGAGTCTGCTGAAGAGTCTAGGAAAGGGAAAACACTTGATTATTGCCAAGTCTGAGTCTCAAAAAGTCCATACTCATTGTCATATTCAATCAGAAAGACACAGAACAGGGCTGATCAGAAGAATTTTTGATGTGTGATCTTCTAACTTCCTCCTCCCATTGGCACCCAAACTGGGAGAATTTTCTTCCATTGCAAGTTGACGCCTAACCTGAAGTCTGTAGTGTTAACAGTCACCTTATCCCCAACTTCCAGGTTAAAATTGAGGACATAGATTTTTCTTTTGGCAGAACTCTATTACATTGCTATAATCCCTAGGTATTCCTCTCTTTCTAATCTAGGCATTTCTACCGCATCTATTACTATTGTATATAGAACATATTACCCGAGGGTAATACCCTCACTTCGTCACGTGCTGTGTCCCAAAGAGAACATGACTGTATCCAAAGGCTGCAATATACTACTTAATGAAATAGTCAGAACAGAAAACAAAAGCAAGGGCACTAAAAATCTCTTAGAAACCAGAGGGCCCATCCTTGCATCAGTGTTACCAGTACAGCACTGCTGTCATACCAGAATTTGTACAAGCAGACGCTACATTTCCCAGATCTCCTTTTCCCACTGTAGCGGGTCGGTTAGTTCCACGTGCAACTTAAAAGGAAAATTTCCTAATAAAAGGCACCCAGCTATCACTAGATGCAATGGCATTTCCATCCCATATTATAGGGTAATAAAGGATCTGACTGAAAACTCATGCTTGCCTCAGTCCCCATTCATGCAACTACTCTCGTTAATTTATTTCAGTGGAACCTACAGGGTTGCAAGATTTGATCCAAACTGCACATATTTACATCTGAAAAGTCACAGTAGTGTAACAAACAAAAGGCAGCCAAGCATTATTCTGAGGACTTCATTGAGCTGCTGGAATTTTCAAAAGATCATATTTCAGTTGGGAAAGAAGCCCCACAAAATATCATCCCACATGTCTAAAGTGCCAGTAAGTGCCTCTTACAAAGTGCCAGAAATGTCTACACATTCAATATCCTTCACAAACACACAAAAACCAGAATAAGAATGTCTGTCATACTGTACAAGTAAATAAATTCACATAAATGTGAATATACATAGGAATCAATCTGTCCTGCCTTGAAATACAGCTTTCAATTGAGAGAACACAGCAAAATTTAAGGTTTCTAAGCAAAACTGAAGGCATATTTATAACATAAAATAAAGATGGAAGGGCAAGTAAAAGAATGGTTTATATAATTTTCACCAGATTCGGTTTATGATTAACTGTGATTTTGAATATCTTAAAATAACATCTTTTGTATTTCTAATGAGCTGAAACTTTCTCTGATAAATAGCTCAACAACATCAGAACAACCAAACAAGAGAACAGTGTGCAGAGAGAGACAGGGCTTTAAATTAATTGCATAATATTTCATTTAAAACAAGGCTGAAATAAGGGCAGTAGTCTTTAAAAGCTGTTAAAGGGGATAAAGCATAGAAGTCCAATATTTGTGCTAGAAACTGGCAGAAACTCTCATTTTCAGAGTATTTCAAGTTCCTCATATTTCACATTTTTTTAAGGTTTCAAAGCAGTAGTGTATGTCACTGAAAGCACCTTGGTGCTTCAGATACCACAGTGAAAGCCCTGGTTAGTACTAACTTAAAAGAAAACTCACAGCACTTATTTCCAAAACTGACATACACCGATCCTCTAGATTGATGTATACGTATATAGATATAGATTGATGTGCCATTTGTGCATTCCTGTATTTTTGACATTCGAAAAACAGCTCTAGAAATTATTTCATTGAAGACAGGGATCCTTCCCAGGTACAGTAAAGAAGAATAGCTACTGTAGTAATTTCAGTAAAGGAGAAAGCACACAAAACTGAATCTGGGGAATGTTTTGCACATACAGGTTTGCTACCTGAAGGTCTAGTGCTGTTCCCTAAGGGTCACCAAAGTTTCTCTTGGACTTCAGTAAAAATTGGATCTGATCCTTAGATTTTAATCTTTCATTAAATTAACAGGCAACACTCCAAGCAGACTGCTGAGCCTTCCAGCCACAGACTGATAAAACTAAATATTGCCAAAATTTTGGGGATGTTTACTGTAACTTTTGAGAAGCTGGTGGGGTATCTTCTGGTGGGAGTGGGAGGGAGCACGAGGGGCACAGTGCCCAGGTGGGGTGACAGCACAGAGAGAATTGCTGAGCACATTTATAGCAACAGATTTTAGAACACACAAAACTGGTGCATTCATTCCTATGGAAAAACAGGGTATGTTTTGTATGGATACACATTCTCCAGGTACCAGATTAAATGAATTCTTTTTATGAATTTTTTGATTCATAAATTATTTCGTTTTTTTCATGATTTTCATGACCATTTAGAAGTTAGGTTTGCTTTGCTATTAATGGTCTGTTCTTAAGGAAAGAACTGCAAGCAAGATTAGCTTTTACTACAGAAAATAAACAGGAAAGGGGACAACTAATTACATCAGTTGACGTGTGTCTAACACAAATCTTTTATAGAAAGAGTTAAAAATAAGCATTTCTGTGCCTAAAGTGATTAATATTCCACCCAACTGTTTCTTTTCCCCAGCAATCTGCAAACTGTAAGTGGGTGGATTTTTTTTTAGCTGCTTCTTATAGGCATTATTTATATTATTTTCCCAATTAAAAAAATAACTAAAACACAAAATGATTAAATGCAAATATCCATGCTTTAACCCCTGTTGGACACTGTTTTTCCCTAATACTTCATCGTGTTCAGAACTGTAAGAAAAACTGTCACAAAACTTCCTTGGGAAAAACACTTGATATAAAATGACATGAAAATGCCTGAACTAATTTCATGCCCCTAAAGTTTAAAATTATCATCCCTAAAACCATACCTGAAAGTGCTATTTAATCCTTCCTCCAGCTCTCAGAATTCTATTCCTGGCATTTCATACATCTGAAGGGGCAATTCAGCATCATTTACTGACAAAATTCACCTAGGAAATCCCTTACGTGTCTTCAAATGCATTTCTTAGGGAACAAAAACATTTTTATAACTACTTGACTCTTCAGAGAAAAACCTAAAATGAATAAAGTCACATCCAGCCTTAATAATCAGTTGCCTAAATGGACTGTCTAACATAAAATAATTTTGAAAAAGAAATTGCAGGAATTGCTTAATTATAGAGTCACTAAGCCAATCATAATAAATGTACACAAGAAAACACCGGTCTGAAACATCAAAGTGTTCTGCTTTCATTGCTTACCTTCTTTCTTTGTGAAGGCATTTAACAAAGACTTCATTTTCCCTTTTTACTTTAGCAGCAATCCCCTCATTATACAACCTTTGCTGGGAAGAAAGAGGCAAAAAACAAACAAAAAAAAAGAGAGAAAAAAATAATACAAAAATAAAGCTACCCAATTTCTATGTGTTCAGGCTGCCTGCACCCTAACATAAGCAGCAGGTTTCTGGGCACTGTGTAATTGCGAGCATAGCTGGGCATGCAGTACCCAGCGTTCTGGTGACAAAGCCCACCCCACATTCTGTCTGTCAGCTGGGAGCCAACTGTGCATAGACTGGAGCTGCTCAAAAAAAAAAAAAAAAAAAAAAAAAATCTTGCTATCTTTCACAGCATTAGTCATGTGAACACCACCGCCACAGCCCTGCAGACGCTACTCTTTGCCTCCACGAGCGCTGCATTTGTGCGGGAGCGAATGCCGGGCTGAGGGAGGTGCGGGTGGCCGGGGCTCCAAGGGGGCCAAAATTCACATTTGCAAAGGGCAGCGGGGAGCGAGGTGTGAAAAGGTACTTCGCAGCAGTGCTCTGCAGGCTGCAGCTGGGGGAAGGAAAGCCTTGACAGAGGTGAGAGCTGCTGTACAAGTGCATTTAGCTTTTAAACTTGCTCAGATGACTCTCAGTGCTCAGAGGCTTTTTGCTATTTATTTGCTTTTTGCTATTTATTTGCTTTTTGCTATTTATTTGCTTGCTTACTGCAATGCTCCAAAGAGCCAATCTGAGGAAAAGTATAAATCACACCAAGCTTCACACAATGACTACGTACGTTAAGAACAGAGACAAAACTACCACTAAACAGAGTATCTTAACATGGCCTATATTCCAGTCCAAAACAGATGAGATACCAGCACAATTGTTTTCCAGTTCTCTTCCACTGCACAAAAATAAACCAGAATTTCTTTTTGCACAAGGTAAAAATAGGAAAATTTGACCAAGCCATTTCACTTAATTCAGTGCAGATGCCAGAAAATAAATGATGTAGCCATTGCAGTTTTAAAGTACTAATTCTGACAAAAAATTCTATAGATAGCTATGCCAGCCAGTGCTCCCAGAGGAAGAGCAAATAACTGAAATGGGCAGATAGGAAGCAGGGAGGAGGTGTTAAAAATCACAAAAATTTTAAGCATAACTAGTCAAGTGTAAGATACCAAGATTCCAAGGAACAGGAAACTCACTGTTTAAAAAAACCATAGTAACCTACATGAAAAACTGTCTTCAAATAGTATAAATTCTGTAACAGTCAATAAATATTTATTCCATTTAAGACATCTCTGCTGATCGCTAATGCATCTCTTTTGAAAATTAGTTCTTTTTCTCACTGAGAAAACTGCTTCAAGACAGACAGAAAATAAACTACTTTAATGGATTTAACTTCTGTATGCATTACAATTTCATATTTAACATAACTCTGAAAAGAATTAGTAAGCACAAATGAATTGAATAGTTTAAACTTAACATTCCAGTGTCTACATAGCTATTAATTTATAAAGAAAAGAATATTTCTCTAAATCAATATAATTTTACGCTTTCGTTCTATTTATTTTTAAAAGCAACTATTCTTAGCAGGTGGAAATGTTCTCACCAGAGGAAATGTTGGATGCAGCATATGTACACCCTTAAACATCTTTATTTGACAGCAGGA